CCCCCCCAGTGGGTCGACCTCCTGAAGCAAGATGATACAATGGGTGAAGCTCAAGGGCAACAAGGCGGTTTGTGAAGGGGGGAAAAAGCCATGATAGAGACAGTGGCAGTTTGTGAAGGGGGGAAAAAGGCAGAAGAGCAATTCTTGCCATTTGTAATGACCCGCAAAACACAAACTGAGAACACTGCTGATTTCTGGGATTTGCCGCTGGAATGAATGCCTTGCTGAGATTCCTGCATTCTGCTGTGATTTCTAAGTCTCTGTGTGTGTGCGTGCCTGCTGGTTTGCGTGTCTGTCTGAGTGCTTGTCGGCTGAGTGTGTGTGTGACCCGCAAGGGTACTTGTTGGTTGAAAGGCCCCCAGGGCAGGTACTTACCTGTGGCCGTGACTTTGAGGGTTGCAACGGGGAAAACACCCAAGTAGCGGGGGTAGGCCCGCGGCACTTAGAGCAGCGGGAAAAACACTCAAGTAGCAGGTAGGCCGGTACCCCTCGAGTAGTGGTAGAAGTGTCGGGTACTGGAGGCTGAGCAGAAGAAGACAAAAGTTGGAATTTTTAGAGGCCCAGTAGCGATAGGTTGTAATTTCTTTCTTGTTGGTTTTTTTTCTTATTTATTATTGGGTAGTTCCCATTATTTGGAACTTGTTGTTTACCTTAAATACAACATCTACTCCTTATGGAATCTTAGGTGTCAAGGTGTGGGTCTCATATTCATAAAATCAACCAAAACACATATGCTATATCCAAAACGTACAAAATTTCGTAAATATCAGAAAGGAAGAAGCAAAGGCTCCCACGCGGCGGCACAACTTTGTTTTGGAAAATATGGTCTTAAAAGTTGTGAAGCAGGTCGCATATCATATCAAGGAATTGAAGCGGCGCGTCGTGCCATCACCAGGAAATTTCGGAGAAATGGTAAAATATGGGTGAGAGTTTTTTCAGATATTCCTATTACCAGCAAACCTACAGAAGTAAGGATGGGAAAAGGAGGCAGGCCGGTACCAGTCTAAGTAGCCTGAGTCTAGGGCCTGTCCAGACGATAGCAGCGCCTGCAATGATGTTTCCCTCCGAAAGGGAGGAGGTACAGGTTGCTGGGAGGCCGCTCGGCCTAGGAAGTCACCGCCCAAGAGGCCAGTAGGCCGCTATATCTTCAGGAGGAGCAGACAGCTCCTCCTCATTTGCGGTATGCAAGGATTGGCGACATGCTGCTGGAGACGAGCGCTGGACTTGGGAAGCACTGCCCGGAGGAGAAGAGCAGCTGGGCGCTCAGCCTGGCTATGGCAAGCAGCCCAGCCTGAGGAGGAGGAAGAACGGGGCAAAGGAAGAGAGTAGCGAGGTACCTACCTGGCTATGGTGGACACCATCTTCATCACCTTGTTGGGCGCTGCATCTGGAAGGCCCCAGTTGGGGTAGTGCCTCACCAAGGAAGCTCAAGGCAGAGTCAGGCACGGCGGCTTACTGAGCAGCGGCATAGCTGCTTTGGGTTGTCCTTTGGACAGGAGTGCAGCGACATAGCTGCTTTGCGTTGTCCTTTGCACACGAGGGCAGAGCCCTTAGTAGTCCGCCATAGCCTAGGCATGCGAGAGGAGGAAGAAGGGGGAAGCCATAGCTATGGTGGACCTGTTGTTGTGTCAGCAGTAAGAAGGGACTTCGGATATTGATTCTGGTTCACCACTCGTTGTTATTATTATTATTGGAAGAAGAATAAGATTGGTGAAGTGAAGGAGGAGGAGGAAGGTGGAGAGAGAAGGGGGATTTGTCATTGGTCTTGCTAGTGTACATCTTCTTCTTCTTCTTCTTCGTCTTCTTCTTCTTCTTCTTCTTCTTCTTCTTTCTCTCTTCTTTGGTCTCTATCTCTTTGCAAGTGCTTTCATTTCTTTCGCAATTGGGTGGCATTGTCTTTCATTGTGAATTTGTACTTTGGGAATGACCAGGATCATAACACATTTCAGGAGGCTTCAAGATTGCGGGATCTGCCGTGGGACCCAACAGAGTGGGAATGGCCACCGCAGAGGATGCATAAAAAGTCTATGCCGATCCAGGAGGTGACCACGAAAAATGTTTATAACACCTTACTGGAGTCTGCGGGGAACTAGAGGAACGATGGGCTAAGCGTGCCTGGCTCCCGGACATCTACGTCAACAGATGGACACAGCGGAGATGGAATTAACAATGTGCCATTATGGCAGCCCTACCAGACCAGACGCAGGCAGGTTTACTCTGGCAAATTTACCACCCAGCAATCCCGACAGCACAATGGCAAGCCGCGAAAAGTCAATATAAGGATCAGACATGTGCTGCCGGATTTGGCCAGGTGGAACCTATCCCTCATCTTTTTGTCCGATGCCCGGAGGTCCGGGCATTCTGGCAATGGTGGGCACAAGAAGTTAGAGATGGGGCGCCCCTGAATGTTGATGAGACGGATGATGCAGAGATCCTCTGGGGAACCTTGATTAAGGTCAACAAATTGGCCTTCGGGGAATTGATGGCGAAGGAGATTGTGAGAGCTGCGATGCTATGGGCCTTGTGGGCGTTGAGGAACGAGAGATGCAGGCAGGGTGCAACCCCGCCGCTACGGGCATGTCAGGAACGTGCCTTGGAGAACATCAGGATTGCCCTGATGGCAGATCTACATGCCCTGATGGCAGATCTACATCGGTGCCGACGCACAGGGGGGAGAGAGGCCAGGTTTTGGGAAAGATGGAGACCGTATCAGCAGTTCTTGACTAGGAATCCACACACAGGCCAACTGCAGTTTGGCACCATCTTGGCACGTTATGTTCCTCAGCCGGAGACCGAGGATGAAGAAGAATAGGGTACAGCCCCGACAGATTGAAACAGATTGCAGTTTTGAAACATATGGGACATAGAGAGAGGGGGGGGACGGGCGGGATTGTAGACGTACCATACTTACGATAGGAGGATTCCAGGGGATAGAAGGGGCAAGATAAGGCGAAGTTGAAGAAGATAGGGGTTGGGCGATAGGGAGGTGAGTTTCACAGAAAAGTGGGGGGCAGAATTTCGGACAAGGTGTGAAAATTGGAAAAATTGGGGCAACTTGAAAATAGAGACAGGATACTGTATGAGAGGATGGTAGACGAACACGAGACGAGGGATGGTAGTAGGTGGCAAGTACGATATCAGCAAAGGAAATGTAAGTAGGTAATCTGAGTAGGACGGCATCAAGAAGTATGGGAGAACCAGTGCTGCAAACCCGGTAGGACCGGGGGGCCGTCCGCCAACTGGAACCGGACGGGTCCTACCGGCCGGTCGACCGGGCCGGTTCCCCCCCGTTTTTTTTTTTTTTTTGGTAGCCCAGGGTGTTGCAGAGGTCAAGGACTAGACCCTCGGTGATCGCTGGCAGCGGCAGCCGGTGGTTGTCCTGACAGGATAGTCCACCTTCCCTACCCTTCCCCATGCTAATGCTCCCAACACACCCCCTATCCCTACTATCCTACCTCAGTGTGACCAGCGCTCAGGACCATCACCCTACCAGTATCGAGGGCAACTTGGACCAGACAGCAGTGACAAGCACCCCCTAACACTATCACCCCCACCACCCTTTTCAAAGTTTCTGGGTGGGAAGTACCGTCCCTACCTTGGCACTAACACCCCCAGCCCCTTTTTCAAAGTTTTTGGGCGGAAGGTTAACGTTTGCAGAAAGCCAGGTACGTTGTTGTCAATGTCTGCTGAAGCCCATGCTTGCTGAAACCCCACCACTAAC